GCTGCAGCTGCAATAAGTGGGCCTATATGATTGGGAAAACACATCTAAAATTTCTGTTTTTAAACCTAACTAGTACACAAACGTACTACTACTGTTTAACCTGCTCTACCCAATCCTCATAACATTTATGTTCATTTAGCCCCAAGATGGTGAGCATCACCTGCCTTTCCTCCAGCTGTGCAGGAGTGACCCCCACTTCTTAGAGACTGTCCCACATGATCTTTCTTAGGTGTTTGTATACCGGGCAAACTAATAGGAAATTCTTGATGTCTTCTGATTCTCTCTTATTGCACACAGTGCAATTTTCTTCCCCTAACCATCTACTGGTTCTTTTATTTAGGGGGAGGCATCCCGCTCTACATTGGTACAGCAGCTTACTGCCGATTTTATTATTATTGGAAAAGGTTTCTTGTTTAGGAAATGTTTTCCCTTTATATAGCTCTAGTGTGCTTTTATTTACCATCCCCTTTCTCCATCTGCCTGTGCTGCCTTTTATAATGATTTTCTCCACCGTATTGTTCCATGATTCGCTGTTTTTCCAGTCTCTATTTATCAATAACTGTTTTTCGTCATACTTCCCCCCCCCCAGGAATTTTACTCGTCTATTCCAATCCGATGTAAAATTTCCTGCACTGATAGCTTCCGCTATTCCCCTGCATTTCCTCTTTTCATCCATATAATTTAATCTACCTAAATATTTAAGTTTGCTCCTCGCTTCTCTATTCTCAAACGTGGACCATCCAAGCTCCCCCATTATTGTTTCAATCCCCGCGTAACGTGGGGCACCTTAACAGTTCCCTGCCAAGCTGGTTTTGGGTATTTTCAAGGGCTTTGAGTTTGAGAGTGCCTGTTCCTTTTTTCTTATCCTTATACCCCCGTCAGACTGGACGGCGACCATCCGCGACCGTACGGCAACCAGAAAATATACAAGGTCGCCGGCAAACGTGAACACAACGCGAGAAAAAGTCCCAACATATAACAAAATTGAAAAAAAGCCGCGACCTGTGCGATCATACCGCGTTCTCACGGCGCGCACGCCACGACCTCTCCGCGCTTATGGCGTTTCTATTGAGATCTATAGGCTTGGCAACGGCGATCACCGGCGTTCCCGCGACGCTCTCACCACGCTCATGGGGTTCTTACCACGTACGCGTCTTCTACGTGTATCGCGACTGCACGGCGACCTCACGGCGTTTCTACCACGTTCTCACGGCGACTATATAAGCTGGTCAGATTTTCGGAAATTTCAACTGTATAGTTGTGCGTTTGCTGAGTAGAAACACGATGCCGAAGAAACAAGCTACCATAGGCCGAGNTTTGGGAGGTCATTGGGTGCCTATTTTCATCGGAATACCGCACACTTTTCGGTATCTCGTGGTCCCACGGACAGGTAAGAAAATCTATCAAAATGACTCATTACACCGACTACCTGTATTAAAAACAGACGTGCCTTACCAATGCTTCAGAGAATGGCTGCAGCTGCAATAAGTGGGCCTATATGATTGGGAAAACACATCTAAAATGTCTGTTTTGAAACCTAACTAGTACACAAACGTACATGTACAGTGTAACAATAATAATTGTATAACATTTAATTCTAAAATTTGTTACTCTTTAAACTCCTAATATAATAAATCATCTTTACTCGCATTTTTATAATTTTCCGAAACGGGGCACTGAAAACGTTTATATAATACATTTCATCATAAAACATTATTTATTTCATATAATGTATACAATTGTCCCAGTTACGACGTATATAGTATTTCAACGAACTAGGAAACTACATTCAAACCGGCTTGAACAATGCACGCAGTTTTAACTCAGCACCAGCCTTGAGTTTCACACCTGCTTATGAGAGCATAGAACGCGTAGAACCTAGTACGAAAGTGAATACACAGACGGCACGAGTGAGCAGTCTCTCATTGCGTGACGAATGCACGCGTGCCAACCCCCGAGAGTCACCATAACCTCGATGACGGCATCTGCGACGACCTACAAAGGACGCTTCTGCGCGTCGGTGATGACGCCACAAGAGGGCGCCATGCATCTCGGCAACTTTGGGGGATGCGCCGACATTCGCGGTGACTCTGGCCCGTGCCGTAACCATGGCGACGGTATCCGTGGCGACCGCTGACAGATGCCCACGTCGGCCGCGTGCCATCGTCGAGTGGCAACAGCAGGGGGCGCCATCGTCCGGACACTGGCCATTGCGCCGAGTCTGCTCTCTCCACCGGTCACGCCATGCGCCCGCGGCGACGCCAGCTCCTCTATTGCCGACAGATGCTTTGTCCCGTGGCTCCACCTTTAGTCTGGCGGCAGCAGCTCGTATATGCGGAACCTCTCGCGAACCAGCGGTCGTACGTCTCGGCCCTAAATGCGACGACGACGAAGACAAGACTAAATTAACTCCACGCGAAATCACGCCAAGAAAGGTCGCGCAAATGGGATCAACGTATCCGTATGGGGGAGATAACCACTCGCCACCTTGAGCATTGCTACCAGGCAGGTCACGTTGAACCAGCTTTTCTGCCGTTTGCACGCCTGCATGCCGAAATAGCGATTTTGTGGCACTTTGCTACTTAGCATTGCCCTTTGAACATCACGTTATGACTGCCATAATCTAGAGCTGCCTGTTATCCACTCCAAGCAGATACGCCAATTACAACCGATTGCTAGTGAGAGCTAGGTTAAGTCTAAAGCTCAGAAACCCATCGGTTTTCTGAATGGGAACATGCTGATAAAGTATATCTTTACCATTTCGCAACTGCATTTAATACTTTGACACGGCGTGGAATAACGGAGCTATTCCTTAAGATAATTAATTAGGTCTTAATTACCAGCTTAACGAGGCTTTCGAGAAACGGCAGCAGCTTCAAAAGTTCTGTATCGCTCTTATCCATGAACCAGCTTTCGATTGGTATGCCATTGTCCAGCTGAAAGTCAAAAATACACAACGCAATTAAACACAGGACGCCAGTTAGATTTCGAATTTCACCATGGCACCATTAATTAACGTTTACAATTAAATGCTTCCATCAATAATTATAAAATCTAGAATAATTTACATTTTAGAACCACCGAAAAACCACTGCAACTCTCAATAAGGCCAAAACAAAAACGATATGTGTTTTGGAACCACCGAAAACCACCGCGACGCGCGAATCGATTTGTGTTTCGGAACCACTGCGCTAGCAAATGACGCTTTGGAGACCAAGGAGGAACCAATGACCCGTTCACCACCCGCAGTCTCCCTCCTCCCTCCCACCTTGTTGTGGAGGATTTAAAATCTCTCGTACCTGGTATCCGAATGCCTGCGGAGAGTTGTCGATGATCATTGTTCTCGCGAGGTCACGGCCGAGGATGTTCAGATCCTTGATGTAGTTGCCCTGCACGCAGACACAGTGCTCCCGGAAAAGCCGGTACCTGAAGACTACCATGCAGCTTTACGACTAAATACGTTTGGTACTCCCGGTTAGACGGCCCATGAAATGCTGAGTTAAAAAAAAGTCCGAATACCATATTTCGAAATCTGCTCGTTCTATTCATACTCGTTACCGCCGCTACCACTCGCGTACTCACATCGTGAACACGGCAACACAGAAGCAAGGGAACCCGGAAACCAGATTTCAATCCTTAACCCATGTTAGCACCACGAGCATTCCTGCGAATAGCGCGGTTAAACGTTAACGATTGCTATTGTCATCGTGTGAATTACCAGGGAAATCCAGGAACGCATCCATTCTCGCTATATATTTGAGGAGACGGTGCATTTTTCCCTCATGAAGTTGTAACTCATGAAAACGAGTAAAATTTGGGCGGGGGTCAATGCAACCTCCTTTAAAATAGAGAATGGGATATATCTTATGATGGAACAAGGTACACTTGAAAGAAGGAAAATCTTCTCGAGTTCTTATAAAAGGAAATGGAATTTTCTCAGAATCATGTTTGAACAGCAGGGGTCGCTCTAAAAGGGCGGCCAACGCCGGTTTGTAACTATTTTCCCGGGGTGCTGCTATTCAGTAGACGAGATCTCACGGGGCATCAGGGCATCTCGCAGGACAGCAGGAACGAGCTTGTGTATGTGACCGCTAACCTCACCGGCCGCCATCTAAACTACACACTAAACGAATATGCAAACAGGCATTTAGGTAGTCTTTACAAGGCAAGCAGAAACCGCTCTGCTCAAGCACACATAATAAAAAGGTCACCTGCTTATGACGACCGCGTCAAATGAAACTAACGACTAAAACACACACATACACGACCTCCTCCAAAATCTCCCGCCTCACGAAACTAGTACTTGTGTAGTGTCACTAGTACTGCCAGTGCCCAGCTAATAGACACGAATTCGTGATGATGCCGTCAATGATAACCGTAGTTACTACGTCTCTTTATCAATGTTCTCGCACGCCCCGGGACATACATGCCGACTGCACTCAATCACAGCGTACTGACGTTGCCGCAGCCAATGATCACCGTAGCACACACGTTCTCATCAACGCGCTCACGAGTCTGCCACACACGCCTGCTGAACAGGATTCGATCGCGGCGTGGTCAGTCAGCACGCCGGCACAGTGCGTGCCAACCAGAGCCGTGCTGAAGAACGACTGAACTGTCGAGATTATAACGCGCGTCTGTCTAACAGCGGCCAACGACAATACGGTGCGCGTAGCGAGCACGCTTCGAACGGGGCGCATCAACACATACCAGATAGTCATCCCAATGCAGCATCGCGACCCGGGCGCCCATCTGTCGGCGGGGTGACAGTACGGTGTGGCACGTTGGGACCACACACCCCGGCGGGTGCAGCTAGTTAAGACAGTGAGTGGTGCGAGTAACTTGAAAATCACAAAAACACGGTAGTAGAAAAGACTAGACGCTATGCACGGTCCGCACGCATCCCTCACAGCTAAAACCCAAACTATGACCTGTATAATCAAAAGAAAGGCGCGACAAACGCGACACATTTCGATTCGTTACAATCGGTTGAAACGACGACAGAATGGACATCTCGTTAGTGTATTAAATGCTACCGTATCTAAAGCCCGCCCATTACAAACACTCATGTCCGGATGGTAAAACTCACCCCGACGTACAAACCGCGTCTCTTATTAAATATAAACACGAAATGCTAAAACTAACAAAACTTCGTTCTAAAAATCTACGATGGAATGTACAAGCCCAACAAACACTGCTTGCAGCCGCCTTGCCAATCCAATGAATCGATTTCCTTTAACAAAATGATTTTTTTGTTTTCGTGTTTTTTATTCTGGCAACGTTACGCATTTGGGAGGTCATTGGGTGCCTATTTTCATCGGAATACCGCACACTTTTCGGTATCTCGTGGTCCCACGGACAGGTAAGAAAATCTATCAAAATGACTCATTACACCGACTACCTGTATTAAAAACAGACGTGCCTTACCAATGCTTCAGAGAATGGCTGCAGCTGCAATAAGTGGGCCTATATGATTGGGAAAACACATCTAAAATGTCTGTTTTGAAACCTAACTAGTACACAAACGTACATGTACAGTGTAACAATAATAATTGTATAACATTTAATTCTAAAATTTGTTACTCTTTAAACTCCTAATATAATAAATCATCTTTACTCGCATTTTTATAATTTTCCGAAACGGGGCACTGAAAACGTTTATATAATACATTTCATCATAAAACATTATTTATTTCATATAATGTATACAATTGTCCCAGTTACGACGTATATAGTATTTCAACGAACTAGGAAACTACATTCAAACCGGCTTGAACAATGCACGCAGTTTTAACTCAGCACCAGCCTTGAGTTTCACACCTGCTTATGAGAGCATAGAACGCGTAGAACCTAGTACGAAAGTGAATACACAGACGGCACGAGTGAGCAGTCTCTCATTGCGTGACGAATGCACGCGGGCCAACCCCCGAGAGTCACCATAACCACGACGACGGCATCTGCAACGACCACCGAAGGACGCTTCTGCGCGTCGGTGATGACGCCACAAGAGGGCGCCATGCATCTCGACAACCTTGGGGGATGCGCCGACATTCGCGGTGACTCTGGCCCGTGCCGTAACCATGGCGACGGTATCCGTGGCGACCGCTGACAGATGCCCACGTCGGCCGCGTGCCGTCGTCGAGTGGCAACAGCAGGGGGCGCCATCGTCCGGACACTGGCCATTGCGCCGAGTCTGCTCTCTCCACCGGTCACGCCATGCGCCCGCGGCGACGCCAGCTCCTCTATTGCCGACAGATGCTTTGTCCCGTGGCTCCACCTTTAGTCTGGCGGCAGCAGCTCGTATATGCGGAACCTCTCGCGAACCAGCGGTCGTACGTCTCGGCCCTAAATGCGACGACGACGAAGAGAAGACAAGACTAAATTAACTCCATGCGAAATCACGCCAAGAAAGGTCGCGCAAATGGGATCAACGTATCCGTATGGGGGAGATAACCACTCGCCACCTTGAGCATTGCTACCAGGCAGGTCACGTTGAACCAGCTTTTCTGCCGTTTGCACGCCTGCATGCCGAAATAGCGATTTTGTGGCACTTTGCTACTTAGCATTGCCCTTTGAACATCACGTTATGACTGC